TCTGTCTTGTTTGCTGGAGCTCTGAGTTGCAGTGTAAGATCAACTACCAGAGGATGCCATGTCATGACAAAACCTAGGCCACAGGGTGAGAACACATGTAGGCACTCTAGTCAACGTTTGCAGCTGAGCTTAGTGTTTTGAATCATCTCAGCCCAGGCACCAGACACATGAATAAAGGAGCCTCCAGGTGATTCCAGCCACCAGCCATCAAGTGACCCTTTGATTTCAAGACTTCCCAGAAGAAGCTCTAGATACTGTAGAGAACACATATGTAGTCACCACTGTGCCTTGTCTGAATTCCTGACCCACAGAATCCGTGAACATAGTAAAAAGGTTGTTTTATGCCACTAAGATTGGAATTGTTTGTTACACAGCAATAGTAAGAGGAATGAGTGCTTTGGAGAGGTCAGTGCAATAAGGCAATGAAATAAATAAATGAAAAATTTAAAAAGGTATAAGTTAGGAAATGGAGAAAGAGAACTGTTATTTTTTTGTGGATGATATAATTGTGTAAAGAGAAAATAAAAAAGAATGCATAGATAAGTTATTAATATTAACATGTGAGTCTAGAAAAGTTGCTGGATATAAGTCACTCTAGAAAAAGCAATTGCATTTTTATATTTGCAGTAACAAATATTTAGAAAATGACATTTTAAAGCTGGTGCCATTTAAAATTGCATCAAAATGATAAAGTCAAATATCTAGAAATAAATCTAATAAAATATTCAAGACCTTATGCAAAAATATTATAAAAAGAAGTAAAGAATACTTAAAAATGGAGAAATATACCATGTTCATATATTTAATTACTCATTATTGTAAAGATAAATTATTTCAAAATTTATCTATAAATTCAAAGCAATTCCAGACAAAATTGCAACAGGTCTTCTTTTGTGGAACTTAATAAGCTAATTCTAATTTTTTAAAAAGGAAATATAAAGGTCCACAAATAGCCAGGATACTTGCTGAAGAACACCAAAGTAAGAGAACATTCTCTACAAGATTTTGAGATGTTTAAAGTTTAGTAATTACAATAGTGTAGTATTGGTGCTCATGACGACTCCACGTGTGCAGAGTAGAACTGCTGCATAAAGTTTTCAAGGCTGTAATCTTTTAGACTCATAGCAACCCTATAGAACAAAGTAGAACTACCCCATAGGGTTTCCAAGGCTGTAATCTTTAAGGGAGCAATCTGCCACATCTTTCTCCTGTGGAGTGGCTGGTGAGTTTGAACCACCAACCTTTGGGTTAGCAGCCAAGTGCTTTAACCACTGTGCCACCAGGACTCCTGCAGGGTGGCTATGAGTCAGAATCCACTCGACGGCAAAGGGTGTTTTGGGGGGACCTTTTGGAAGCAGGTAGCCAGGCCTGTCTTCCAAGGTGCCTCTGAGTGGGTTTGAACCGTCAATCTTTTGGCTAGCAGTCCAGTTCTTAACTGTTGGTGCCCTCGGGGACTCCTAGTAAGTACTTAAAAAATACTTATTGAATGAGAGAATACCTTAGCTCATTTAATCTTCTTGAAAACTCTATAGAGTTCGTTTTATTGTCTTTATCATACAAATTAGGAAACTGAGGTGCAAAGAGGTGGAGTGACTTGCCAGACTTGTTAGACAGCTGACAGCAACTAACAACAAGAAGTATAGGTGCAAGGGTAGACAAACAGACCAAAGGAACAGGATAGAGATACCGGAAACAGACCCACGCATGTGTAATCGTTTGATCTTTAACAAAGGTGACAGAGCAGTGAGAAAAGATGTGTTTTTTCAATTACTAGCGCTAGAATAATTGGCTGTCATTTAGGAAAAAAATTAAACTTAACCCATACCTGAAACCTTACACACCTTCACACCCCAGCTTTTGTCATTGGTGTAACATCAGCTAGCTAGTTCATCAGTAAAATCAGCGTTCTTTTCCACTCTAGACCAGGGCAACAGTGGGCCCAAATTATAGGCTGTAGCTAATCAGTGCCTATCCAGTTTGCCAGAAATTCCACATCTAGGTATTTATTCTGAAGAAATTATCAGAGATGTGGGCAAGGATCTATTGATGGATATATATTTCAGCATTAACTACAATACAGAATAATTGGAAACAATCTATATATTCAATAATAGGGAATTATTTAAATAACTTGTGGTACAGTTACAAAATGGAATAACGTAAAGACATTAAAAATCATGTTGTAGAATCATATTTGACAAAATTTTTTAAAATATATTTTCTAAGTGTCAAAATAGGTTACAAAATAGTACATATCTTATGATACATATAATTTTAAAAATATTTTCACTCTCTCTGCCCTCCTTTCCATTTCACTCCACTCCTCACCCTCACCCTCATCTATCTTTCTGAATAGGTTTGGAAGGGCTTACACCCACATATTAATAGTAGTTACCTCCAGATACTGGGAGGATGGGCGATTTTTTTTCTTTTCAGTGTTTCTACACAGAGCATACATTTATTTGATAATTTTTGAAAAGTATTAACATTTGGTTAATAAATAAATACATTTCCTATGGCTTATAGGTCATCAGTACTGTTTGAAAACCTTTTGATCCATCTTACTTCAATCAAGTCTTAACCTTTCTAATTAAATTATATGAGTAAATGGTTTTGGGGCCTGCTCTATAACCGATTGAAATGAAATAGAAATGATCATTCTAGAATATACATTCCAGGGATGGTTGAATGTAGTAAGATGTTAATGTATAATGCTAATTTCTAGGGTAGAAATATTGGTAAAAAATTTCCCCCAAATATATCCCATATGCTATCAACAAATTCTGTTTATAAATCAATTTATTGGGCAAATTTTCACTTAGATTAGTACATCTGTATTTAAAAGAAAATATATCAACATCCCAATTCTCAAGTTTCAGATAAGGCCCACTAGACTCATTGTTAATCCTGCCATTCAGGTTCTCTGAGGAAAATTAATTTTGTCATGTTCATATGTAGAATAAATAGAAAGGTTTTTTTTTCTTTCATTTTTTACCTTCATCAGTTCAAAGAGACCGTAGGTTCAAATAGAATACATGCTGAGCACTGAGGAGAGGGAGATTGGACTATCTTAGGTAAGACAAATACGTGCATTTTACCAAACCAAAACTAGAAGGAAGAGACTCCTGTCGTATGGGCTATGAAGCACAACAGTTACCCTGATGTTGACAGTGAGGGTGGCTAGATCACCCTGACTTACTTCTGTCAATTGTATAAAGTGTCTGAGTTGAGTCTAGAAAAGGTAGGACTTATATGAGTGGAGAGGGCATACAAGAATATGAGGTTTTGGGGAAAGGTGAAAGAAGGGCCAGGAAGAGCAAAAGCATGAAAGTGGAAATAAGCATGGAGGGTCAACAATGATTATGAAGTGAAGTTAGTTTGAAGGAGCAACTAGTAAGATTGTATAGTATTGTAGAGTCAGATTATGATGGGGCCACCTTAGAAATAGAATTTAGGTTTGGCTTGAAAATTAGTGGAGAGTTACCTTAAGTATTTCAGCCTATATTATCTTTAGTGACATATGAAAGTGATATTTTAGGAAGAAAAATATCTTACATTTATTGAGTACTTTCCCTGTTCCAGGCAATGTGTTAAAATGATGGAGTTGGTTGACCTGAGTTCAAGTCAGCTCAAGTCCTGACTCTGGAATTTACTAGTTATATGACTTTGGGCAAATTAATCTGTAAAATGGATATAATAGTACCCAGCTCTCAAGTTTGTTGTATGAATCACATAAAAATAGGTTAATTTGGAATTAGTATTTAAGCTAGATTGGAGAAGGGAGAACCTGGGAGCAGGAAACAACTATTGCCGTTATTGAGCCTAGACAACCAGAATAGAGAGAGAAGACAAAGTGCAAGCGAAAAGTGAAGAAGCACTGACTTCCCTGACTGACTCTCTCTGTCCACTCTTATTCATCTTGCAAGTTCCTTTTTTTTTTCTGTTCATTTGACATAATCTGGGAATGTGAAACTACGTTTTGAAGTACAGGATCCCTCGATGGACTTCATCAATTGTTTGCTCCTTTCCCTAGAGCTATAAATAGCTATCTACTCTCTCTGTTCACTATTTCAACATTCCGTGCAACATATCCTTTAAACTGCCTTTTCTCGGTCAGTTAAAAAACAAAACAAAAATCACTCACTTTCTTACTCTGTATTTTCAGGTTTTTGTTTGCAATTTCTTGCTCTTGTTTTTTAGTTTGCCAGTCCATCAGGCCTCCTGTGAATTCTCACAGAAGCAGGGTCCTCTATTTTAACAAAAAGCAAACCTAAAAAAGAAAACCAATTCTGCCATTTCTGGGTTTAGGGAAACCTGAAACTTTTCTTCAAACTCCCCTCCCCCACGGCATTTCTCACTTCAACGCTCAATTCCTGCCACCACCTTAACATCAGAAAAATCACTACATAATAGAGGTTTTAAAATGTACAAGGTGGCTGGATCAGGAGCCCTGGGGTGCAGTGGTTAAAGCGCTGGGCTGCTAACCGAAAGGTCAGCGGTTAGAACCCGGTAGCTCTGAGGGAGAAAGATGTGGCAGTCTGCTTCCCTGAAGATTTACAGCCTTGGAAACCCTATGGGGCAGTTCTACTCTGTCCTACAGGGTCGCTGTGAGTCGGAATGTACTGGATGGCAGTGGGTTTGTTTTTGGTTTCGCTGGATCCAACGTAGACTCCTCTTTCAAGGAAAGTCTGTCCTCTTTATTTGCATACATTTCTGAGCAGGAAGTTATGCGCAGAACTTTTAGACTCCTGGGAAAGGGTCCTTTATTTCAATCTAAGTCAATCCAGTGCTTCCCTTTTCTTTTTCTTTTCTTTCTCCTTTTTCTGTCCCTCCCCTAGGGAAGGAAGTAGAAAGAAATGTTTCAACAGATCTCGCGGTGCTATTCGAGATTCCCTATTTTAAAAAAAAAAATTAGAAATGATGCAAACGAGCCCGTGCCTTCCGGGGTTTGGGGCTGAGACCGCAGCGCTCCAAGCACAGTGTAAAGAGCTAGGGTAGGAGGCGGGGCTCTGGCTAGTTCCCCTTCCACCTTCCCCCACCTTCCTCTTCTAACCTCTGTTCGGACCTTAGCTCGATTCCAGCCTTTGCCGAAGCTGCTTCGCAGCCCTTTCCGGGACCCAAACAACAGAAGCCGCTGTTCCAGGATGGTGATTCGTGTGTATATTGCATCTTCCTCTGGTTCTACGGCGGTAAGGAGAGTGGAGAGCCCACCTTTGTTGTTTTCCTACACATCAGTCCCCTCCTGCCCCAGAACCGTTAAATTGCGTAAGTTTGTCTGGCAGCTTCTCCTTCGGAAGACAGAAGCATCTCTCGCCCCACCCCCACTTCTTCTCTTTCTTCCGTTTGTTGCATCTGTTTCATTTTTCCTTGTAGTTTAGCATTCTTTGCCTTGTGATGTTAGGGTCACCTTTCTCTTTTGAAGGAAAAAGAAACTACTGAGTTTTGGTAGGTGGGAGATGGTGGTATAGAGTCTTTAGGGTTAGGTGAAGAAGTCAAGAAAAATCACACACTGCTGAGTTTTAAGAGTGCTGTATTTGACATATGTACTCTAGGAACTGAGACCAGGGGAAGGAGTGCACATCTGTAAAGGATAGGGATAACATCTGTAACTGATGGTGATTCAGTAGAGACCTCCTGAAGTATTGTGATTATTTTGGGAGAGTGAGACCCATGCAATAGGGGAGTTACTTTGAGAGTGTGTAGGAGAAGAGTGTTTTAACTTGACTTAAAGGCCTGTTAGAACTAGACGGAATGGGAAGGGAAGTTGGCAACAATGATACAAACTTTTTTTTTTAACTTGATGTGATAAGACACCGAAGTTTTTTTTTCCCCATATTTCCTTACCTTGATTTTTTTTTCCCTTTCAAAAGATTTTATATCTAATAGTGCTTGGAATGTATTGAGAACTGGAAAAGAAACTAACAAATGGCTTCTTGTGTAGTGAGGGATTGAGTTGCTGCTGCATTAATGATAGAAAGCCCTCCCCCAACCAATTCACTTGCTCTTAATTTAGAATAACAATTTATCAGTAGTTGTAGGGAGCAGTAGGATACACTGGCATGAAGGCTGAATGTATTTCCGTAAGAAAGGAAAGTGCTTGTGTTTTTCACAAACCAAGAGGAAGTCTAACAGTGGCAAGAGCAGATGTGTGAGTTTGGGATGTAGGATTTAGTAACCCTGTCTCGCTCCTTGGGATTTAGAGCAGCAGCCATTCCAGGATTCTGTTGTTTTTGTTGTTGTGGGTTTTTGTTTGTTGGGTTGTTTATTTACCCCAAGAGGATTTGGAGTGGAACTGAAGGTTCTGTGAAATCACAGATCTTGAACCTCAAACTTTGTATCTCTGGCCACCATTTGGGATGTGTTTAGAAAGTTCTGAAATAAAATAAGGCTTAATCTTACCTTTTTATGGCAAGTTTAGGTTAAAAAAAAAGAAAACTTTTTATATTTCCTTTGGACCTCCGTTTACGAGCCTCTTGCCTTATTATTTCCCATAGATATTAATTCTGGTATTTCAAGGTAAAATTTGAGTTAGTCAGTCTCAAGTCTAATATAATCATTGTAAATTTTCAAAGACCAGCTTAATGCCTTTAGTCAAACCCCTGATTAAACCAAAAATATCAGCAGTTATTTTCTGTTTGGGGGACATGCAGTTTCAATACTGCTATTTATTCTTTGCTTTCTCCTTCTACCCCTCCCCCAAAAGCAGATTCCAGAAGAAACTGCTTTCAGAATTTCTATTCGAGTAAGAACAACTGCACTTCTCCCTTTGTTAAGCCCCACGTTTCTAAGAGCCTTAAAAATGACTGCTGTCTTTTATAATTTCCATTATTGGACTCCTTATTGAAGACTATGCAAATGGCAGAAGTTTATGGTATTTGTATTTTGTTTCATTGATTTTTTTCTTGTAATTTCCTGATTTTTCTATTGTTGCAGTAATTACAGTTTTTATAAACCTGTTATCAAAATTCTACTGTATATTGCCAAGATTAACCCTTTATTTTATTATAATCTTACAGTACTTTTAAACAGTACAAAGTAAATGTACTTCAGGAAGAACTCTTTTATAACATAAGTAGGGTGGTGATTATTTATTACCGAAAGGGACTCTTCGATTTGTGATACTAGAATTTTCCTCCAAGATTGCTGCTATGTTGTTTTCAACACATGATTTAGAATCAGAAAAAAAAATCGGGGACAAATATCCTGACAGAAACCCAGCAATTGCACAAAGTGAGGTAGTTCTATAAGTGACTAAATGCAGTTGTCTGAAAAATATTTAAAATCTTTTGGCTTTGAATTGGTAATTTCTGGCTGTTTTCTGAGTCCCTACCAATTGTCAAGGTCCCTAGGTAGGGCAAATGGTTTGTGCTTGACTGCTAATCTAAACGTTGGCAGTTCAAACCCACCCAGTGGTACCTCGGAAGAAAAGGCCTGGTGATCTGCTTCCATTAAGATTACAGCCAAGACAACCCTATGGAGCAGTTCTACTCTGTAACACATGGGGTTGCCATGAGTAGAATCGACTCAATGGCAACTAGCAACAACAACAGCAATACTGATTCTCAAAAATAGCCAATGTTAGATGTTATTAGGCACGTGAGGACCTGTGACAATTGGCAAGGCGATATTAATTTATTTTGCCCCTGATCCCAAGACTTTCTGTCACTCATAACCCAATTAAAAATATTTGTTTTCATGCTGGTACTAAACTCTGCCCCTAAATGGAGGAGTAGCATTTGCTTCCCAAAAGTTTAGAAATGAAAGCGAGTATGTTTGTCTTTGAAGTGGCTTTCCTGATAGTAGACTTAATAATGATTGTGAGTAGGAACACTAAAGTATGTCAAGTAATATATATATATTTTGGAAAATAGTTCTGTGAGTTAGATACTATGATTATCTCTATTTTTCAGATAAAGAAATGCAGGTTCAGTGAGGTTGAATGGGTTTCTCAGGGCTACACAACTAGTAAGCTGCAGCCCTTGTATCTAATGCAAGCTGTTTTCATTCAAAGAACATGTGTTTCATTGCTGTCGTTGTTAGTTGCCATTGAGTTGGCTCTGACTCATGGTGACTTTATGTATAACAGAACAAAATGTTGCCCACTCCTGTGCCATCTTCATGATCTTTGGTATGTTTGAGTTCATTGTTGTGACTATTGTGTCAATTCATCTCATTGACAGTTTCCCTCATTTACACTGTCTACTTTTCCAATCATGATGTGCTTTTCTAGTGATTGATCTGTCTTGATGATGTGCCCAAAGTAAGCAAGGTGTAGTCTTGCCATCTTTGCTTCTAAGGAGCATTCGGGTTGTATTTCTTCTATGACTGATTTGTTCATTCTTTCGGCAGTCCACGGTATATTCAATATTCTTAGCCAACATCACAGTTTAAATACATCAATTCTTCTTTTGTCTTCCTTTTTCATTATCCAACTTTCACATATGAGGTAATTGAAAATACCATGGCTTGGGTCAGATGCACCTTAGTTATTGTCTTAGTTATCTAGTGCTGCTGTAACAGAAATACCACAAGTGGGTGGCTTTAACAAACAGAAATTTATTTTCTCACACTTTAGGAGGCTAGAAGCCTGAATTCAGGGTGCCAGCTTTGGGGGAAAGCTTTCTCTCTCTGTCAGCTTAGAAGAAGGTCCTTGTCTCTTTGAGCTTTTGCTCTTGGGCGATCTTCATGTGGCTTGTTCAATATCTTTTATATCTCAAAAGATATTGACTTAAGACACATCCTACACTAATCCTGTCTCATTAACATAACAAAGACAACCCATTCCCAAATTGGATTATAACCACAGGTTAGGATTTACAACACATATTTTGGGGGGACGTGATTCAATCCATAACAGTCATCAAAGTGACATCTTTGCTCTTTTAAAACATAGAAGAGATCTTTTGCCACGGATTTTCCCAGTGCTGTATGTTGGTTGATTTCTTGACTGATGCTTCCATGGACATTGGTTGTGAATCCAAGTAGAATAGAAATACATTTTCTCAGTGATGCTTGACAGTTAGTAGGCATGAGGAGATAAATGTGAACATGGTGTGAGACATATGGGAAGGAGTAAGTCCTCTAAGTGGAAGAGAGTTGCCTGGGCACGTGTGTATAGGGGAATATAAAAATGAGGAACTAGTGTCAGGGAGGGATATTATGTTTAACGGTTGAATGTCAATAAGTGGGTTAAATGACTGTTCACCCAAGAGCAGGAAGGTAAAGAAGTCATGCACATTTGGAAAGCCTAAACCGTTCTTTTATAAGTCAGGCTATGGAAGTTCAGGCCTTAATACTGTTTCTCTTGATGAAAATCATTTAACAGGAATGCAGCTCCCAACTTGTCTGCCTATAAGAAGTAATTTCTGAGGGAAAAATCACTAACTAAATAGAAAACAAGTGTTAACTTTGGTGAAGGGAAAGGCAACACACAATATAGGGGAAGTCAGTACAACCTGACAAAGTCAAAGCATAGAAGCTTCCTAAACACATCCAAATACCTTGAGGGACCAAGATACTAGTGCTCAGGGCTGGGGACCATAGTCTCAGGGGACATCTAGGTCAATTAGCATAACATAGTTCATTAAAAACATTTCTACATCCTACGTCTGGGGTCTTAAAAGCTTGCGAGTGGCCATCTAAGATGCATCTATTGGTCCCATCACATTCAGAACAAAAGAGAATGAAAAAAAAAAAAAACAAAGACACAAGGAAAATATTAGTCCAAAGGACTAATGGACCACTACTACCAAGGCCTCCACCAGCCTGAGCCCAGAAGAACTAGATGGTGCCTGGCGACCACCACCAACCGCTCTGACAGGGATCACAATAGAGGGTCCTGGACAGAGCGGTAGAAAAATGTGGAATAACATTCAGATTCACAAAAAAGGGGCAGACTTACTGGTCTGACGAACCCCCGAGACTGTGGCCCCGAGACACCATGCTAACTCAGAACTGAAGCCACTCCCAAAGTCCACCTTTTAGCCAAAGATTAGACACGCCTAAAACACAAACAGTAACACGTTTCTTAGTTCAGTCAAGTACGTGAGACCAAATGGGCAACATCTGCCCAGAAGCAAAGACGAGAAGGCAGGAAGGGACAGGAAAACTGGACAAATGGACATGGGGAACCCAGAGTGGAAAGGGGGAGAGTGCTGACACATTGTGCGGATTGCAACCAATGTCACAAAACAATTTGTGTATAAATTTTTGAATGAGAAACTGATTTGCACTATAAACTTTTACCTAAAGAACAATAAAATAAA